TGGGAGCAAAACAGGCAAATTGACTGAAATAAACTACCAAGAGGAGCAGGGGGCGAGACAGGAGAGATCTGCTGTGCCAAGCGGGCCAACTCCCTGGCAGGGGATCGAACTCATGCTGCAGTGGCCGTGGATTTGCTTCATAGTGCTGAGAATTAACCCCTTGCACCACCAGGGAGGCCCTATGTGACAGTTTTAAAATTAGTTGGCTAGTTTAGACTACAAAACAACTCTGTGATTAGGTTACAAATCCCATACATTGATTATATAGCATTTTCAAAGTCAGTAAACGAGGGGGGCGATCAAGGTAATTAAGTACAGAGAATTTGGAGTCAGAGTGGTTCTGTTGCATCCAACTGAATTTTGGTCTTGGGCAAGTTACTGAATCTGTTTCCTCAACCATAAAGTAAATATCATTGATACTGTGTAAGGTTGCTGTTAGGCTTAATAGGTACAGTAGTTTAACAGAATTGTTAGCACATATTAAGCACACATATGAGGTGTACTGTTATAGAGTGCGTCAGAAAATGGATTTTCACTTCAGTTATCGGATATAAAGCAAATTGAGAATTAGTCATATAAGCTATCTGTAGTTAAAAAGCAAATGATATTTCCCAGAATTCCTTTCTTTGTGTGACTGTGGGTTAGAATTGACTGAAAGAGACATTTGGAAGGCAACATGGAAATGGTATTCATTAAGCTGAAAAGCTTTTTTACAATCAGATGCAATGACAGAAGCCTAAGTGCTTGACACATTCCAGTTTACCTTTGTTCTTTTGTACTCCAGCCCATTTCTTCTGTCCAACAGTTGGTCCCATTGACCAATAACAAACTTGGGTCCACTCTCAGATGTGACTGTGGACCTACAGAGGAGGAAGCTGCAGCGAGTCAACAGCATCCCATCGACATCTTTACAAACTGTCCCTTCATATGCCTGAGAGGACCTGAAGATTGCTTGGTTACTCCTCTGATCCTCTAAATCTTCTTAATGGACCTTACCTGCTCCCAGTTGTGCAAATTCAAATCTATTTTTCTGTAACACTCCACTATTGCTCTACTGACTGAACCTTGAAACTTGATGATACCAGAAATCTTTCCAAGGAACAGAATTTTAAAAGTAGAAGCTGGAATGAGTTATTTGAGCTCTTCTTGTCTCCAGTGGTAAATGCATGGTTAGTCGTGGCATATGGTGACACAATGCTTAAATTCTTACCTATAGTCACCTGGAATAAAGTGCCTATAAAAGGCGAGACTCTGTTACCAGATATATACTGCAATAGAACCTTTTGATAGGAACAAAGGGAATGCTGAGTGTAGGATTGATTTAGTGCTTCTCAATAAGCTGAAGAACATAGAGAAAGAGAATAATCTTGGCGTTTTAAATTCACAACTTCTGGTCTAAGTTAGGAGCTAGAGGCTTCCATGACTACCTGGAGATGAAGCCTTTTAAACTGTATTACTGATGTTCTACCATTTGTCTTGTCTCCTAAATCTCTATCCAAGTTAAAGTCCTAGAGATCAGGTAAAAAGCTGTTACTCATACACGGTAAAGGAATTGCAAAATTTCACTAATTCATAGTGACGAAAACCCAAGGCATATGTGTGGTTATGTTTCTTAAGGAGTTATTTTAGAACGAAAGGAATACAATGCTGGATTAGCCACAGTGGTTTTGATTAAGATATTCTGCATATTAACTCACACGGTTGAGAGTAACTATGACAATTTTAGTGAAAACTGAATCCAGTGGTGGTCCACACTACACTGAATTTGAGATGCGAAACTTCCTTCTGTAGTTGTAGTACAGAGGAAAGTATATAAATGATTTGGGAGGGTGGTTTTAATAATGTGCTTACCCACACATTAACTGTGTTTTCTAAGGGAGTCCAGAAGGCAGTCCCTTTACCAAGACTTTGAAAAATACATTGGTGTGGGGGCATCGGATTCCTTAACTTCACAGTGGCTGTTATCTGAAAACTGTAAGTGACATTGTGAAAGTGGTGCCGTAGAACTGAGCTTTTTCAATTTAATGAGGATGATGGGATACCATTAAGGGCAGGGGGCAGGAGGATGTATTTCTCTGCTAGAGACCAACATGCTAATGGTTACTATACAAGGCAGCAGAGTCAAAGAAGTAAATGGGCTACTTTGACTTGCAGAGATATTTGATGGTGGGTAAATTGATCATGGATTTCTTAGGAATGGAAATACATGGACACTAAGAAAAAAAAGCAAAGGCTTTTTCTTGATTTATAGAAAAATTAAATCTCTAGACTTAATAAACAGTCTGATTTGAATCAAGACACCAAGAAATTGTATTCCCTTAATTTTCAGGTGAGAGCAGGTTCACATACACAGAACTCCTTGAATGAAGAAAAGGCTATTTCTGTCTTTTAGGCGGGGTTTTTCTACATTGTCAAAAATTCATATTGTAAATCTTTCCTAGTTTTCCCTTTCCATGAACTATGTATTTAAAAAGGAAATGATCAAACATTTTGACAGTTACTGGATTACGGCTCTGAACTGATACTAATTCCTGTTGACCCTAAATTGTCACTGTAGTTCCATAGTCAGACCAAGAGTTTATGGAAGTTGGACAGTTTAACCAAGTTTTGGGTTATTTCCATAGCAGTGATCTAAGAATCTGAATCCACCCCATAACTTTCCTAATTTTGGAAGGCATAGAAATACTCAGAAACTGGCAGGAAAAAAAAAAAAAAGAAAAAGAAACTGGCAGGACCTCACCTCCCTTGTTTGTGTCATGGTTTATGGAATGACAGCTCTTATGGTAGTAATGAAAATGGAAGCCTTTCCGCCTCTAAATACCAAAATTGGAAACTAAATCAGTGTTGAATTCATGGAGGGATCTCAGAATTATACCATAAGGCCTTGAAGGATGCAGGAATGATAAACTCCCCCCACTCCCCCCCCCTTTTTTGTTTTTGGCCTATTGTCCCATGCAGAAGACGAATCTTGAAGAAAAATTATATTATCATAAATATAATGAGATCAGTGGCTATCATTTCAACTCTATTCCAGATATATTACCAGAGCATCCCATAGCACCTGGCAATTTAAAAAAAATAAAATTTTTAGTTAAAACCAACAGCAGCAACTTGGTTTTATCTAGCAGTTAACTTCACTGTCAAACCTGAGGACCACATGAGCTCTGCTCACTGATCTCCTCCATAGGTCTGTGATCCTACCTTGCATAGGAAAAAGTTTGGTCACATCCATGATACCATGATGACTAGACCTGTTGAACAGTAAGTACTAACTTTAGATATCTTAGTAAGATACATGGATATCAGATGATGTGAATTGCATCCCTCAAAACTTCAGAGATCTCACACCTTGGTAAAATTTCTAGGACTTCAGTAGCATATTGATGTGTACTGTGTAAAGGATGAATTCCTGCTGCTGCTTCCTAAGGAAGAAACCTAATGCCAGTTTGGCTGATTTAGCGATATGTATCTCATTTGTGAATGGTACTGTGAAACTTTGAGTAACCCTAATAATTTCTCAATTTTGTGTAATGTAGAGTCTGCACTACACAATCCAGGTTGCTGTTGCATTTGCTCTGGTATTAGGATTATGTGGCATAACAGAGATGATGGTACTTAAAGAAACAGTGACAGACAAGGGTCCTGCCTACATGGAGGTAGCCGGCCCTTATTGGTGAACTATATTGAACTATATTGAGAAATGGGAATTTTGGAGCAAAAAGCTGTTTCATTCTCTGCAAATAATTTTTGTTTTTATAATCAAAGTCTGGCTTACTATTTGGTCTTAGTAGAGGCTGAATGCTGACCATGGGCCACCAAGTTTTCATGCAACGTGGGTTGTTCATCAGAAATTGGGTGATGTCTGATGCATCAAGTGTGCTGACAGATTACCAGTGCAGATCAGCATTCTATCATCAAGTATATGAATTTGGTCTTAAGGTGTAAGTTCTGAAGATACAAGTTGCAAGAGGATGAGTAAGTGGCTCTGATTGTTAAGGGTCTTACTATTACTGTGTTGCCTCCTCTTTTTCAGTCCACACCTAGTGACTCATGGAACACTTCACAGGACTAGTCCACCTAATCATTCAGGTTTGGTTTACTAATAGTTCTTCACAATATGCTTGCACCACCAAAATAGATAGACGTCTACAGTCCCACACAAAGGTGGCCTGACTGAGAGTAGTATAGAGAATTCTCTCAAAGAATTCAAGGGATTCTAGCATTCTGACTGTTCATTTGATTAGATGGGAAAAAGAAATGGCCAGACCTAAGGCTATTCACTAATTCTTAGACTGTAGCCACTGGTGTGACTGGATTCTTAACACCTTGGAAAGGACATGAGTTGAAAATTGGTGGTAAGAATGTTCTGAGGGAAATGTTTGTAGATAGACCCCCTTGAATAACTTAAATATGTTCTGTTTGACTATTTGGATATTCACTCAGGAGAGCGGTATCATTCATCAGGTTGATAAGATGACAAGTTCTATGAGCATTGGCCAGTCTCTTTCATCGGCCAGCTCTGTCCCTTGCCCAGTAGACGCAGAAACAGTGTTGACAAGAGCAGAGATAATGCATGGGTTCAACAACATGAACCTCCCCTTGTCAAGCCTATCTGGTCACAGTCACTGCTGATGTTTCAGCCTAACAAGAGCGGAGAGTAGACCGTATCCCCGGTGTAGCACCATCCTGTGGGATGACCAGTCCACTGCCTTGACTGCAGTATGGTTACATTCTATCACTTCTCTCATAGAACAGGCAGTGGTGGTCTGTTTTCACAAAACCAATCACTCACTCTGGATTTGTCTGCAGAACTTCTGCCAAAATACCATCTATCAACTTAACAAATGCCTCGCTCACTGTTGCGTTATTGTTTCTCTTCAGAGAACTCATAGCAAATTGGAGCAGTGGGCTCATGCTTATGTAAATCTCTGATATTACCACGCTGTGAATGACACTGAAGCAGAAGCCTAACAGAATGATGTAACTTCCTTAAAAATAAAGACTGAGTACTTGCTGAATGAAGCCCACGGGAGGCCTAATAACATGGACTGAACCATTAACCAATATCTAGCGCTTTTCTACCTAGTCATGGATTCAGAAATCAAGGAATGAAATTGAGACTGCGTCCTCTTACAATTTCACTTTTCCCAGCTCCCATCCCCCTACTGTCTGTTATAAGAGGTCTGATACTGGTTAATCTTGGACTTCAGCAGTTAAAGGACATGCATAGCAAGGGTCAATGTGGAAACAGAATATATCCTACATTACAGGGAGTTCTTAAATGAAGGTGAAAATACGAATGAGGGAAGTGTCAGTAACTGTGAGGATTGAGGTTCTATTCACCTGCAGTCTATCCGCCAGCCTGCTGTACCTTCAGGGCAGAAGACAGACTCCTGGCTTAGTAACAAAGGATTTTATTACCCACAGCAATAGCAGTAATTAAAGAATTAGCATTTTTCTTGCATCTGTTCCCTGAACCCCCCACTCCCCACAAAGTGACAAGAGAGTCAGGTGACACCTGCACATGCGGTGGGTGGGTTGTATTACAGGAGAAGGAACCCAATTCAGGGAACCTAAACTCTTACAATGAGAAGACTGCGTAATCTGTCCTTTGCTCCAAGGAAAGACATTATGTTTAACTTCCCAGGCTTTTTACTACATAAACATCCCCTTAGAAGACACTCCAGAACCAAGGCAGACAGTGCCAAGACATGTGGAAATCTGAGAGACCTGTGAAGAATTGCCTCCCAACAGGAAGTTTCACATATTTTATTGAAAAATCTAGGAAATCATGTGAATCATGTACAATATTTTCTCACAAGAAAAAATTTAAGCTGTTTTTAAACGTTTCACAGAATTGTAAAACTTTTTAATTTTAAAGGAAAAAGCACAATGAAACTACCACAGTATATAAGCTTCCCCCCCCCCTTATTTCTAGGGAAAAGGCTAAAAAATATTTAGTACATTTTCTCACTATGATTTGTAATGCTAAGTAAGTACTCTATTCTTTTATCAATCTGCTAAAAACATACAATGAAATGGGTGGATCGATGCTTTCTTTGTTCAAATTATTTTAAAAAGCTAAAATCTAATGACATGTTAAAAATAATATATTTTTGCAGGATGTTACCATTTCTGTAACAGTTTTTCTACACTATTTCAACAGTGCAATGGTGATTCAGTGTAAATCATTACAGTGTTTCATTGTTACAATAATTGTGTTCAAGTACATGTTCATGAACATGATCAAAGTCTCAATTTGACATATCTTTTCCATCATTAAAATAATTACAGTAGAATTTTTGCTATGAATTTCTCTAAATCTGAACCAAATTCATAATACATTCTTTATAAATCTGTTCAACACCATGAGGTTTGTTGACACATCTTCTGCAGACTCCAGAAAATGGGCTAATTCTGCCTCAGAACACCAAAAAAAAAAAAATTTTACTTCTCTCCATATATAACTAAACTACTATGCTAAGTTAGTATATATTCTGAATAATTCATTGGTATTGGTGGGGAGAGAGTAAGTAGCACCTTGGAAACAGCCCTCAGTTAAAAAAAAAAAAAAGTTAGGTTTAAGTTTTGAAAAATTTTCATTCCAGAAAATGGATCAAACTTATTCATATAAAATTATGAAGCCATATACTATAAATCAAAATGTCTGTATAACCAAAATAAACCATACTGAATGTTTGGCAGACAAAAAAATAAATTAATTTGATTAAATTATATGTAATCTGATCATATTTGGTCTGAAAAACATGCTAGTGTGTGTGTGTTTATAAATAATGTCGCAGAGAGCTGTGAGCCAGCCAGGCTGCTGGACGTCAACTCTTCTGCTGTAGCTTCTGGGCATAGAAGTCCCTGCAAGTCTCACAGCAGCGCTGGTACCATCGCATGTCCTGACACAGGTTCTTCTCCCGTATCACTCGGCAGTACACAGGCCACTGATCTCCCAGGCACTTGAACGTCAGAGCGGCTGTAGGCAGAACACAGGGAATTCAATACTAGCACATACCATGTCAGGAGTAGAAAATGTCATCTGAATGGGGATATTTAGTCTACTTTGCGTTGACTCATTTATATTACCTGTGGGACTTAAAAGTCAAAGACAAAGAATCAATCTCTCGCTCACTTTCTCTCGTTATCTCTCTCTTTCACACCCCCCCCATAAAAAAGGAGTAAAGTGAGTGAATATTGTTCTCGCTAATGAATTTATTTTTTTATTAACGAATTTTTTTCTTACATTGTTGTAGTCCCCATAGTTCTGGCCCCAGCCATGTCACTCAACGAACCATCACCATATTCCTTTGTGTTCTTCCCTCCCCTTTTTTGACCCCTTCCCTTTTCCCTCCTTTGCTGTTTGCCACAGATCTATGGTTAACTTGCTAAACTGTTTCTTGACCTTTTCTTTAGTATATTCCACATATAAGTGAGACCATCCAATATTTAGCTTTGTCCTTCTGACTTATTTCAGCTAGCACAACACCTTTTGGCTCCATCCACGTTGCTGCAAATGGCATGAATTTGTCTTTTTGATAACTGAGTAATATTCCACCATGTAAATATACACACAACTTTATGTTACATTTACTAATGGAATTTTTAAAGCACACTAAAGACAGGTTACTAAATTCAGTGAGTTATATTGCAAATGACTTCTAAGATTTGACTTAAACACCATAAAGTTTCTTTTGGATTTCTGGTTGAGAAGGGTGAAAAGAAAAAAAAAATGTACTCAATAAATGCACTTTTAGGGAAATGAAAATCATTTATGAATGAAATTGTAAGAAGTAGCAAAATAAAAATATGCACACACTTATTCCTCATTACCTAGATAGTAGTCATGTTTAGGTGATATATCGGGGGAGAGTTCCGGCATCTTTAAAATTAAAGCTGATCATTACAAGTGATTGAAGTATACAACAATGAAAGTTTTACAATGTGGCATATAAAATTTGGTTATATATAACAGACCTCAGTTTTTCTGAAGAAATACTGTGTTTTGGTATGTATAATAAATCACTTCTGCTATAATTCTTTTGTATCTGTATAAGTCTTTTGTCACTATTCTAATGACTCATTATTTTACTTTTAAAAACCTTAGATTTTCTTTTTTAAAAGATTGATTGATTTATTTATACAAGCACTGGGTACAGTCAGAAGCTTGGGAGGGGAGAGAATTCACCAGAGTGGGGAATAGAACAGGCAGACTGACAAAATACAATGCTGAGGGGAGCAACGGGCGCGGCTGGAGAGGTCTGTCATGCCGTGTGGGACCCTTGCTGGCAGCTGGGGATGGAACCGGCGCTGCAGAGGCTGTGGGCAGCTTCACAGCCCAGAGCTCCACCACTGCACCACCAGGGGAGGCCCTTAGATTTTCTAACCCTTAGATTAGAAAATGTTTGGGATATACTTTGAAGAAATAATAAGCAGAATAAATGCAATTTTAGTCAAATTCAAGGATTCCAAGTAATTGTTAGATAAAGGGATTAATGGTTTTTGAGTACATGGATTTGGTACATTTGTCCTAGGATTGCTTAACTTTTGCGTTAACTAATCTTAATTCTACTTGAACAGATATCTTAGAAATGTTACTTTATTTTTTTTTTTTTTGGCTGGAAAAAGAATTTTTGTATTTCCAAACGTTTATTTGATTAACTCTCATACCTAGAAAAGTTTGATAATAAAGCTTCTTGTGTTTCGGGAACATTATTTTGTATGATTAAATTCTTCTCCTTGAAATACACACAGATTAAAACTAAAGGCGTTAAACATAAGTTAATATAATGACAGTCAAGTAGCATTGCTGTTAAAACTCACTAATCACCACAGAAGTACAGTGTAATTCGTGGATATTTGTTGTGGACATGCAGCCTATATCTCCTTAAAATATATACCCTATTTCTTGATAATGGGTTAAATTGAGTAACGGAATTGAGTATATGAAAGCATTTCATAACATAAAAACTATTTAAATTAATGTTACTAGTATTTATTAGTATTTAATACTATGTTCCTAAAGAGAAAAAATAGTACCTCTTGTTCATTGGTGTAGATCCCTGTGCCCATTTTTCTTGAAAGCCATTTTTATTACTTTGTCTCCAAATGCTAGCTTGTATGGAGAACCACAAGGAAGGATTCCAAAGTGTATACTACAACTTCACCACAGACATAACCTTAATTAAGTTCTGCCACGGGTCTGGTCAGAGCCCATAGTACGTTACATCCTTGAATCCTTTCTTTCCATGATGGCTTTGGTGGTGTAGCAGTAGTATTTGCAGGCCCGGGGTATGAGAACAGCTTCAGGAATCAAAATAGCTTTTAGAATTTTTTATCCACCTGATCTTTCTAACAAAATTACAGTTACATAGGCCCCATTCAGTCAGAACTGAACTAACTAATATAGGTCTATATCTGACCTTTAAGGCGATGAGTAAAATAGAAGCAGCCGCAAGCATTTCTGTGTTTCTCACACTCAACCTTTTGGTCTGCTTACCCAGTCTGGGTGATGTTATTGTATTGACATTAATCTTCTCATTGCAGGGCTGAAGGTGGCATGGCCTGTAAGCTGCAGGTTTTTCTGAAGAAAAACATTCATTTCCATGTCTCCCTGTGATCTTATGCATGCATTGGATAACACGGGACTGCATTCCTTTGCCGCAGGTAATTGAGCACTGGAAGAGAAATGACGTTTGTTAGAAGTTTTTTGCTGTTTACTTTTTCTAGGCTGTGAGCCACCTTCTCCCTGTATATCCTAAGATTAATATGAGCCACAACATCGAGAGTTGATTGTAAAACATGGGTCAGAAAGACTAATACTCATTATTTGGGCACAATGCTATTCAGAACCTCTAGTTAACCTAAGGCAGACCATTAGGCAATTGAGAGACAAAGAAGGTTAAAGAAAGTTAGAAAGTAACACTTGAAAGAAAAAGCAGTGAATGACATCAGTAATGCACTTGGGCAGGAAATATTTAAAGTTCTAATATCTACTTTGCAACAAATGACCAATTCATTATTCTTTATAGTTATTGATGCTCAAGTATTAGCTTATGTCAGCATGTAGCTGGATCCTTGCTGCCGTCTTTCAGTCTACTTAAGTACACTCCGTTTGCTCTGGCTGTAACATTTTCATCAATAATACCAAAATAGCTTATCAATCTGATGGGTAATTGACATACCAGCCATTGCTTGGCAGATTAGATGACACTCAAGATTACTAATGAAGTCATTTGGGGTTTTCTCATAAAACAGCCTTTTCATGGATTCACTGTGTATCAACTAAATTTAATTTCTTTTCATTTTTAAGAAATTTTATAAAGAAAAACATATTTGATGCACAATGGTCTTTTCTAGAGAAGTGACTTGGGTCCATTTATCTTTCTAGTTTTAATATGTGACACAAATAAGCAGATGTTAACTTGACTATGAAAATACGATTTTATGGTATCAAAATTCAATGTGAAAGGTTATATGCTTATGATTTTGAAAATGATTTATTTACTGGTTAGTATTTTATACAGTAAAGAATTAGTCATATTTTGCAAAATCTAAAGAACTTAAAACTAGGGAAAAATTATCTTGATATATTCTACTTGAAAACTGGTAAATACCCTTTCAATTGCCAACTTTTACATATGCAGTAAGATTTTTAATTCATATTTTACAAAATCATTGTTAGGATTGCATTCACTTTGCTGTCAGTTCCTTCTTTACAGTCACCATTAGTCCTAGGTCTGCACATTTTCATTTGCACAGGAAGCATCCCTCACAAACCCTCATCTCAAGCCCAGTTTTCTTTATATTTAGTTCCGAGTTTTCCAGTCACCCTCACTCATTTATAGCTAATGTGTTTTTTTTCAAAATTGCTTTATGTTATAATCTTTTAGACAGAAATATTCATAATTGATTTCTTCATTGCCGACAAGGTACAGTCCAGTATCTCAAAATCTCGGGTGGACTTTTCTACCTCTTCAACCTTATTTCCCAACCCTCCACTCTAGGAATCATTTACTTTATTGTAGATTAATCATAATATGAAAGCATTATGATTATTTTATTTATAAAACATTTTGATAAAAATTTATGACAAATGTGTGAAAAATGAACAGATATTTGAAATGGAACAAACAAAATCCCAAGATAACTAGTTTTTACTTTATTATGGAAAACAAGTTATTTTCTCAAATCGGTTAAGAGCGCACAGTTCTTTAGTTTGCAGTAGAACAGTTTCATACTCAAGCCTTTCAAATTCTTTTATGTTGATGCATGACCTATTTTAGCACAACAGGTAAGACTGAATGTTATAAAATAAGAGCTTCTTAATGAAAAATAAAAGGGCCACACTAAAAACTAAAAAAAAAAATACAGACATTAAAACAAAATTCAAAAATAACTCTGTCCTTAAAATGCAGACATGGGCACTAATCTTGTCTCTAGCAATTAATTTACCTGGGACTTATTTTTCCCTTTGTTAATAGCCAAGGCATTATAAAAGATCACAGCTGTACTCTAAGGTGTATATTACTATGAAGCTAAAAATTCCAAAATGACTTTTTATTAAGTTATTGCAGTCTGACAGTTTTTAAGTAGTGAAACTACAGAAAGCAAAAGCTAATTAGATAAATTTCATTATCTAATTTTTTACTATGCCCTCCAGTGATGGTATGAAAGAAGTTCTGTGAAGTCTGAAAATTATAGTTAGCTTGAATGTCTAAGGATAGTCAGTCATGTATTGGCTTTTCAAATATTACTGATCATCCATTAGGTTTAGTATCCTGTGCAGGAAATAAAAACAACAGAAATGATAGAAGTGCCAGCTCCAGAAATTAATAAACTTCATTAATAATAACGCTGACAGGGGCCTCCCTGGTGGTGTAGGCAGTTGAGCACCGCACTGTGAAGCTGTCAGCAGACTCTGCAGTGCAGGTTCAATCCCAGCCAACCGGGGAGAAATCTACATGGTGCAGCAGACCTTTCCTGTCTCGCCCACTGCTCCCCTCAGCAGTGTATTTCATCAGTCTTCCTGTTCTGTTCCCCGCTCTCTCTCTGGTGAATCCTCTCACCCTCCTGCACATCTGGCCTGTACCCTGGTTCTTGTATAAATAAATAAATCTTTTAAAATATATATATAAAAAATAATAACGCTGGCATAAACTAGATGGAGTCACAAATGTGTTGCTAAACACTATGGAAGCTGGTCGATTTCACTGTTAGCCAATTGTTAATTATTTGAAATAATCAGTTGCACTGTAGAACCACTGTTGGCTACTTTAGGATCAAAAGAAAGCAACAAAACTAGTCTTGAAAACTTTAACTCTGTACAATATTAACAGTAGTTAGCTCTTATTTAGTGTTTCTCATATGTACTATGATACATATTTATGTTAGTATCTCACCTGAAGCCCACAGGTGCCACCTATTGTCCCTTCTACAAAGATCAGAAAACAGAGGTCAAACAAGTGAAACATTTTGGTCAGATTTTTACAGGTAAGAAATGTAGTCTCAGGATTTTTAAATAGTGCAGTAATGGAGTTTTCACCCTCATGTTCTGAATCGGTTTGCAAACCTACGTATTACTTGATGTTTCATGCATGCTAATACTCCTTTTTATGTAATCAGAAATTTTTGTGTTCCCTCATCAGCCAAATTAACTCATAATCCTTGCATTTTATGATTAAGGTAAATCTTAATAAATTAGATGGGCTTATTGTTTTAACTCAGGTTATGTGGTATGAGATAAACTCTTTCACCCTAAGAATAATTCACACATGAGATTTATCATTAGAGTGATCATATAACATCCAAATTGGAGCACTTTTGAAAATAGTTGCTAATAATAAACCCATGCTACAGGCAGGCAGGGGACAGTTCTGGGTGAACTGGAACATAGAGCTACCCTATCCACTGAGCAATGTATTAGTGATAAACAACAATGGCCACATGATTAATATATTCTAGGCTTTTTTTTTTTTAAGATTTATTTATTTCTATACAAGAACTGGGGTACAGGCCAGATGCGGGGGAGGTTGAGAGGATTCACCAGAGACAGAGAGGGGAACAGAACAGCAGACTGACGAAATACACTGCTGAGGGGAGCAGCGGGCGCGACAGGAGAGGTCTGCTAGCCATGTGGGACCCTCGCCAGTCGGCTGGGATAGAAGCGGCGCTGCAGAGGCACAGCACTGCGCTCAACCGCCTGCGCCACCAGGAGAGGCCCTATATTCTAGGCTGTATCTAAGGAGTTTTTATACCAAATACCTTGGCTAATCTTCCTCATAACCGTAAAACTTCATACCGAATAACTTTTTATACCGAATGTCTGGGCTAATCTTCCTCATAACCCTAATAACTTTACAAATGGAAAGCATGAGACTTACAGAAATTATTTCATTCACTCTTTCAAGAAATATTTACTATTAAGCCTGCAACATGCCAAACACTGCTCTGGATACTGGCATGTGATTGACAAAGTAGACAGAAATATGTACTTCCAATGAGTAGTTGATATTCTAGTGGAGGGAAGCGAGAAAACAAAGAAGCAAGATTTATCGTAACGTAGCCAATGTTTGGACAAAAATTAACCTGGGAAGAAGGACTGGGAAAATTTGGGGTGAGAGTTTTGCAGTTCAAATGGGCATGATAAGGGAAGGATCCATGGGGAAGGTAACAAAGACTTGCTCCATAAGGAGAGAGAAACCTCAAAAAGTTTTTGGATTACACATACAATGCTGTTTCCGCTGTTTCTACACAGTATCAGTTTCAAGGGTGTCTCTACTCCTTCCCTCCCAGTCTTTCTGCCCTTCCCTCCATTATATTTAAATCCTGTTCTTCACAAACATACCAAGTAAATTTGAAATATCGTTGAAACAAGTCAGCACTACGGGCTTTGACTAAAGGCCAGTAGGCTGAAATGCCAACAGCAATTTGCTAGCAACTGGTAAAGAAACACAGGGTGCTCTGGATAACTTGCCACTGATATTTCTCTAACAAAGAAAAAGCCCCCATTAGAGTGTTTATTAAGGAGAGACTTGTATTGTCTGACAAATTTTCTGTTTCCCAAACAGTTTAATATTGCCCTGAAGGAACTTTGAAACAGGCACTTCATGAATCAATTCCATGACCAAGAAGCCTTTCATTCGGAACAGGAAACAGGATCTTAATGTCTCAGGTTTACTAGAGTAAAAAGGAAGTGGTGATCTTTAGGGCAAACTTAAATAGCTTAGAAAATTTTCTCATGACTTTAGAATTAAACAGCTATTTTGACGGCATTAATAAGGCACAAGGAAAGCGATGTTTGTTACTTTCTCTCCCACCAAAAAAAAAAAAAAAAAACCAAAAAACAAAAAACCCAGTTTCTGAAAGTGTTATTTGCTTTATTGACTTACTGAGAGACATCATTTTAATCTCCCTGCAAAAATTTACATTTTGGGTACACATAAATACCTTTAGATGCTGTCGCCTTAGATTTCACTTACAATTACTAAATCCTTTCTTGCCCTAGGACATTAGTGATAATGTCTAAGCCTTTATTAAGTTGTGGCTACACTGTAGCTTGCATATCAAACACTAGCCATAATAAGAGAAACTCTTTAAATAATTTAAGCAGTGGGACTACTAAAATATTTGAGAAATCGTTCAGTAAATGAGAACCATGTAAATATTAGCAATTCAACAATAAGGCCCTAACCTCTTTTAAAATGAAATATACATTATAGTTTAGGAGCTAAAACTTTCAAGTTTATTTCCTTTCTGTTGGTCTTATGCTAAGAGGTGACGGACTTTATTTTACCTAAAAATTTTTCATCAAAATAAACTGAAAGTAAAGTATAAGTATTGTCCAAGTTGGGGGTAGTGTATGGTGAGAGATGTTAGTGTGAACTCTAGTAAAATTACATTTACTAAGAGAGCAGCTGTGGATAGGCAGGTGGCCAGTACTGGTATATTTTGCTAAGATGCCATAATTCAGCAACTTTATGGATTGGCCTAAATGCAAACAAATAGGGAGAAATAAAAAAACAAGTAGGGGAAAACACACTGAAAAAACCTAAACAATTCTTATTGTTGCATTATTGTAGAAACAAAGGGATGAAATGAACTCTAAATGTCTATGAAGTCCATCTCAAGATATGGATGAGCCAAGGTGTAGAAACTTCTTCCACTGAAAGAGATGGGAGTAGTGAGGTAGTACCCCAAAAGGAAAATATAGGAAGAAACTGACCATGAAAATTTCACATCTCACTTATCTTTATGTATGGCATTAATAGACAGTACTGCTAAGATCTTAGTTTACTACTTTGAAAAATATATGAATAACTTACAGAAGGTGTTCAAGGTAAGGCATTTATCTTGAGACATTTTACCGATTTCACTATGTTCAAGAGCAATGAGTGCGTGCTGTTAAATAATGGTGTCTTGATGTAATTATTCATGTTTTTCAAGTCCAATCTGATGCTTTTAAGGAACTGAGGATAAGGAGGTATTTACTGTTATGATCTAAATAAGTTTTCAGCAATTCACATGCCACATAAAAAATACTTGCTAAAATTTCATTATTTTGTATTGAAATATTCCCTTTATGATTTATTTTAATGTTAAGAATCTGCATCTTTTAAAAATAATCTATGCGTAGTGTTCCCCAAAGTTTCTATGCTGAGTAAGTATTGACTAAATTTTAATTAATGATGGCAGACTTGTCCTGTAGTATATTGACATGAGCGAACTGTTTAATTAAAAAAAAAAAAACCATATAGGTACCAATAAATACTGAGCTTCATTATTTATAAAGTGTCAAAATGAGGGAGGAGAACAGACAATCATGATTTTAAGGGATTCTCAAGACTAGTCTGTAGTACCACTTGGATTTGTTCTTCCAAAGTATAACATTGTCACTGAGAATCATAATTTGTGTAGAAATTGCCATTCATTGCTCATGGTATCACCTGTTAATACCATGTCTCTGTTAAATTCACCAAAGAACATTGTTGTCTTATGTGAGGAGTAACCTGTGTACTTCTGGACAACTTAATTACAACTAAGGATATTTTATAAGTGGGATACTCACAAATATGTCTTAACTACTCTCCTATTTAGAGAAGATACACATTATTTCCAATGACCTCTGGTTCTTGTATTTCTCTGGCTCATGGGTATTGGAATTCAGTAGAACTATTCTGGTTACTAATTTTGATGTCTTAACACTCTTGATGTCAGGGAAGGAGTCAGTGTTGATGCTGGTTTTCTTTATTTAACTTGCATGAACAGCTATGCCTGTGATGTGACATTGGGTTTTAACAATTCCTTTGTAAAAATTAAATTTTGTAACGCTTCTTGAAATAGCTCCCAAATTGGCAACTCGAGATTACACTTCAATCATATTTTGAAAATACCATTAAAATAATGACTTCCATATTGAGTTTTAGGTATTGGGATTCCATGGTAAAATGCCAACTTTAAAATTACTGATCAAAGATTAGCTTTTATCTCTTTGGGGGGATTTAAGAATAGTCACAGCAATAGTGCTTGGTGCTAGTTAGGTACTTGTTAGTCTGAATATTTTAATTTCAGGGATTTTAGGGAACCAATTGAGACATTATTGTTTATTTAACCTAGGTCTACAAATTTACTTAACTATTTTTTTCAGTGAGTTAATGGAACTGTTATCCTGTGCAATAGTTCAAAAAAGCACTGTAAAGTATCTGAGTATTTTAGAGTTTTGTTGGATAACAAACATAACTACATTAACACTGATCTACTTTTAAATTCCCTAAAAAAATGTATTTAAGGATTTAAAATAATAATTTTCACACTTGGGGCCTCCCAGGTGGCGCAGCGGTAGAGCGCTGGGTTGCGAAGCTGCCCGCGGCCTCTGTGGCGCCGGTTCGATCCCCGGCTGCTCCCCGGCCACCGGAGGAGGGTCCCACATGGCGCGCAGACCTCTCCTGCCGCCCGCTGCTCCCCTCAGCAGTGTACTTCAGTCCTTCTGCCTGGTCTGCTCCCTACTCTGGCTCTGGTGAATTCTCTCACCCTCCCGCGCTTCTGACTGTACCCAGTGCATGTATAAACAAAACAAACAAACAAACAAATAAATAAATAAAAACATGCCTCTATTAAAAAAAAAAAAAAATAATTTTCACACTTGGCCAGCAAAGAGATTACGCGAGATTCCTTCCTTATTGACTGTGCCAAAGATATATACTTTGGAGCGAATATGTATTCTCCAGGCCAACAGCTAAGGAAGGCTCTGTAATGCTTTCCTCATTTCCAGCTGGCCTCTGTTAAGAAATAGGAATTCCTAAATTAAGAGAAAATTGTCACTGGCAAATGTCTTTTTTTTTTTTTTTTTAAGCCTATGTAAGTCTTACAGAACCTGATTTCATCTGCAGTGGTAAGTGCCTATCTTTAACAAGGTTAGCTCTATTGATTTGGATAATTTGTCTTCGGGAATAAATGAATTATTCCAAAGTACTTTAACAAAAGTGAAGTAGCAT